ATTGCCTAAATGTTTAAATGTATTATGTTCCAACAACTTTAGATTTAATTGAGAGCTCTCTTGTAAAATGAGTTCAGTCAGAAGCAATTTGTACAAGCTGTTGAGAGGCTGTGGAGTTCCTGTAAACAAATACTGAGATGTTGACCGAATTGGGGGTAGAGCGCATGGAATAGGAGAGTCAAGACTAGGAAAAGAAACCTCTCCTTATTTTTTAAAAACTATCTTTTGGTTACATTATGCATTTATTTGGCAAAATGTTTAGAAAATTGAGTAAATAAAAAGAATGTTAAAAATCATTCAGGACCCACCACTTCATACAAAACTAATGCTAGATTTGTTGTACGAGGGGGTGCCCCCCCAAAGGAATTATTTTCCTCAAAGCTATGTACCTAATTTTTTCTTTTTACAAAACAACCTTATTACCTTCAAAGTACTCTCCATTACACTTAAACATTTTTCAAATCTGTGATTCCATTTTTTAAAATTATTAATCATTTTATTGTGGGGCTCTTACAAATCTTATGACCATCTATCATTCAATTGTATTAAGCACAATTGTACATATATTGCCATCATCATTTCCAAATAATTTCTTTCTACTCGAGGCCTGGGTATCAGCTCCTCTTTTTGCCCTTCCTCCTCTGCCCTCCCACCCTCGTGAATCCTTGATCAATTATATATTATTATTGTATCTTACACTTACAAAAAATATATTATTTCGTATCTCATACTGTCCATTATCTCCCTTCATGCATATTTCTGTTATTCTGCCCCACCCCCGGGGTGCTATGTATCTAAACTTGTGATGGGTTCCCCATTTCCCTCCCACCCCCTCGCCCCCTCCTTGCAATTCTATTCTTGAAAACATTTTTCAAACTCATCTGTTTGGATGCCTGACAGTTGACAGCACCTCCCTGTTTTTTTTTTACCTTCACCTCTTTTACTTCTTCAAATCATTGTCCTTTCATGTCCCTCTTCATTTGTTGAAACAAAAAGAAGCTGCATGGAGCGAGGTCAGTAGAGTAAGGTGCATGGAGCACGAGAGGCATCCTGTTTTTTGCCAAAAAGTGGTGTACTGAGATGGCTGCGTGAGCAGGTGCATTGTTGTGGTGGCAAAACCAGTCCCCCTTCTGCCACAAATCAGGCCTTTTTTGTTGCACACTGTTACGCTATCTTTTAGATATATTTAGAACCTCTAAATAGAAAGCTTGATTAACAGTCTGATCTAGTGGAATGAATTCCGTAAACACAACGAGTTGACATTTTCGCCTGTTCTGTAAGTTGACAAACTTCCAATACAAGATTTGTCATCAATAAATGTACCTATTTTGAAAGGAGAAAACCATTCATACACTTTAGTTTACTCCATAGTGCTGTCCTTGTAAGCTGTGTTCAACATCACAACTATTTTGGGGGCATTTTTCCCGAACAGGAAACAAAATTTCAAATCCCCATCCTGTTCTCTTAAATCAGCCATCCCAAGCAACAAGGTTCAAGTGAAACTGCTTTTATGAAAAACGTCCACCGTGACCAGAGAGAACCTTCCCAGGTGATGACAGTAGGTGCACTAACTCAGAGCAAATGGCTTGATGTTGGCCTAGCAGGGAAAATGCATACTATGAAAGCTCCACTCTGCCCGACACAATTCCAGTGTTTTGGGAGATAGCCCCTCATATGTTGAAAGTTCTTGTACTCTTTTGCTAGAATATCCATAAATTATCTTGTTAAAAATATGTGCGATACTATCCTATTGAGTTTTCCTGAATTAATTTGTAAATGTTTTATTGTGAACTTGGTGAAGTTTTGCAGAGCAGATCATAGTTTACATTCAACAACTCATACACATTCTGGTTCAAATCATCATTGCAATCCCCCCATGTGTCACCGTCCACTCCACCTCCTCTCTGTGTTTTCTGTTGGCCGCCACCCTTCTCTCATAACCCTCTAAACTTAGCCTATGGGTAAGTGCAGCCGTTTTGCTCTTCCGTGCTTGATTATTCTAGCACAGTGGTGAATTCAGTTCCAGACCTGAAAGGTAGAACTATAATCTTGAGCGTTCCATTAGTCTATCTGACAAGTAAGCCTAGACTCTTTGTGATTTTGAGCTATGTTAAACATTTTGTCCCATTTTATCCAGCTCCTTCTAAGGTGATCCCTTTCAGAGTAGTTGGAAGTAGTAGCCAGGCATCATCTAGTTCTTCTGGCCTCAGGGTTTGGAGACCAATTCTTGCATGATCCATTAGTTCATGGGTTTCTGTAGTGGCCAGGCATCATCTAGTTCTTCTGGCCTCAGGGTTTTGGAGACCAATTCTTGCATGATCCATTAGTTCATGGGTTTCTGTAGTGGCCAGGCATCATCTAGTTCTTCTGGCCTCAGGGTTTTGGAGACCAATTCTTGCATGATCCATTAGTTCATGGGTTTCTGTCTTTCAATTTCTGTCACTCTTCTTTCCTTAGATGGCTGTTCATGAACTTTTAAGGTGGGGTAGTGGTTAAGCATGGACTTATATTTGAATAGTTGGCAGTTTAATACAACCAGCCGTTTACCAGGAGAAAGACTGGGCTTTCTACTCCCATAAAGTTAGAATCTCGGAAACGCACAGGGAGTTGCTTTGAACCAGCATTGACTTGATAGCAGTGAGCTGGAGTCATCACCGTTTTAGGATGGAGAACATTATCTTTATGAACTTCACGTCTTTATGCCAATTGACCTTGGTGTTCTTCATAATTATGGCCCTTATTCTCCAGGCCCAACACTCATTGCTTCAGGATGTTTGGTTATATTTAACACATTTTCATTACTTTGTACCCTTTCTGCTCTGCCAAATTCATGGATATATTTGCAACAAAAGTAAATAGACATATAAAATAGCCTCTGTCAGATCAATATACATTCATGGGTATGTGTCCACTCCCTATCCTACCTATATTCTGTCTGTCTATCGAGCATCTATTTATCTATCCCCAATGTTGCCGTATTGTATATTCATAATATTTGCCTGATTTCTTTAGCTCTTCGAAATCTCCCTGTATCTTTCTATGCCTCTGTCAATTTTTCCCTAACATCTTTTATTGTGTTGCCTTCCCCATCACACAAGTTAATACTTGTCTACCCCTAGCCCATGACTTAGCCTATGTCCCTTCCATCCCCTTGATTACCATTAAAGAATGTTTCTTCTCATGTGAAGTGTTGGGCAGGGTTCTCTAGAGAAAGAAAACCAGGACACTTATGATTATGTATATCAGAGAGAAGGAATATAACAGCTAATTAGTCCACACAGCAGTAGAGAGGGCTCAGTTCAATTCACTGTCATGGAACAGTTAATATACTGGAAGTCCTTCAACTCATTTGGGCTGCCAGGTGCAAAGTCAAGGAAGCAGACAGTGAAGTCTTCCCGTAGGCAAGGCAGGAGTGTCTGCCCATAGGGTGGGTCAGCAACAGTTCATAGCTCAGGAGCTTAGCAAAGCAGCCCTGATGGGATCTCAAACTCAAGCACTGTGACAGGATCCACCAGCCTCAAGCTCAAGCAATGTATGCACCAGCAGCATGGTGAAGCAGGTCTGAAAGGAGCCTCAAGCTCTAGCTACAGGATCCCTGGGTTGGCTTGGCCCGGCCCACAGGTAGTGTAGCACACAGGTTGAGACAGAGAACTAGCTAAAGCAGCAGCACGCTGTTCCAATCACCAGGGAGTAACAAGAAGATGGGACTTTGGCTGTCTTTATTTTTAAGGTCATCCTCCAATCAAGCTGGGACCTGATTAAAATCCACCCACATGTTCCTATTGTCCTAGCTGGCACATTAAACCTAGCTATAACATGTAGAAACTTATTCTTGACTTTTTATAGTGTGGTTGCATACAATATTGTCCTTTTGTGTTTGACTAATTTCACTCCTCATAGTGTCATCCAGATGCATCCCTGTTGTGAGGTATTTCTCCAATTAATTGTTATTATTTTATGTGACATAATATTCCATGGCTATATGTATCAAAGTTTGTTTATCTGTTCTTCTACTAACGGACATTTATGTTGTTTCTATCTTCTTGCTATTGTGAATAGTGCTATAATTAAAATGGAGTGAATGTATATATTCCTGCCATGGTTCTCCTTTCTCAAGGATATATATCAAGTAGAGATATTGCTGGGTCATATGTCATTTCTATTCTCAACTTTTTAAAGAAGTGTCATTCTTCTGCAGTGATTGCATTATTTCACAGTCCCACCAATGGTGGAAGAGAGTTCCACCCTCTCCACACCCTCATCAGCATGTTTTGTTTTCTGTTTTACTTTTTACAAAAACTTTGCTATTAATTCTGAGTGAGGTGGTATCTCATTGTTGTTTTCTAAAGTTTAATTTGCATATAATTTACATATTATGCAATTCAACAATTCAAGAAGAGTTGTATAATCATCACCACAATCAGTTTTAGAATATTTTCTTCATTCACATACCCATCAGTATTAGCTCCCCATTTGCCCCCAACCTCCCCTGACATACTCCAAGGAACCATTAATCCAGTTAATGTCTTCATAGATTTACCTATTCTGGATTTCACATACCCAAACAAGACAACACGTTAAAACAACAGCAACCACCAAAAGCTAATAAGAATTACAAAGTAAAACATAAACCCCACAATCATAGTTGTAGTTGTATTGATTTGATTCTCTCAAATGTCTAATGATCTATAACATTTCTTCATATGTTTGTGGGTCACATGAGTGTTTTCTTCCATTTGTGTTCCTTTTAAATGAATCATTTCTTTCCTAGTTCTTAGGTAAATGCTAAGCTATTATATTTTGAGTAGAAATGACATAGCCTACCTTTCAGAATTTTCCATAATGTTCTTAACCTCCAAATGAGAAACATAAACGGAGCAAATAGAGTGGCCAAACTACACAAAAGTCCACTCACATTCTGGGGTGAAGAGAAACTCTAATAGAGGGGCCTGGTCAGTTTTGGTTGCCATTCTCCTAGTTATAAGAATGACCCAGAGAAGTTGAGTGACCATGAATTCTCCCAGAACCCACTGCTCTTCCTCTAACTGTAGCGGCCTGAGGTGACCTGCCAAAATGGTTCGCTACTCACTTGACCCAGAAAACCCTACAAAATTCTGCAAATCAAGAGGGTCAAACCTCCGAGTCCACTTCAAGAACACCCGTGAAACTGCCCAGGCCATCAAATATATGCATATCCAGAAAGCCACCAAATACTCGAAAGATGTCCCTCTGCAGAAGCAGTGTCTGCTCTTACAACGTTACAATGGTGGCGTTGGTAGGTGTGCCCAGGCCAAACAGTGGGGTTGGACCCAAGGTCGGTGGCCCAAAAAGAGTGCTGAATTTTTGCTTCACATGCTTAAAAATGCAGAAAGTCATGCTGAACTGAAGGGTTTAGATATGGATTCTCTGGTCATTGAGCACATCCAGGTGAACAAAGCCCCCAAGATGTGCTTCCAGACTCACAGAGCTCATGGTCGGATCAACCCACACATGAGCTCCCCCTGCCACATTGAAATGATCCTGACCGAGAAGGAACAGATCGTTCCCAAACCAGAAGAGGAGGTTGCACAGAAGAAAAAGATTTCCCAGAAGAAACTGTAGAAGCAAAAACTCATAGCTCGGGAATAAATTAAGCTTAAAATAATAAAAGTTTTAAAAAGTTTAGAAAAAAAGAATGAGCCATCTCAGAAGCAGGAACATGGACAGACTTCCAGGATCATCAAAGAAAAAGAGCCACCAGTGAACCACATTTAAGATCTCTTCCCGAAAGCAAATTAACCAACATGGAAGAATCACACCAGCCAGTCTGATCATGAGGTGTCCATGGGATCAGAAATCAAGTATCAAAAGAGCCAAAACAAAGAATTATATTAATGTGAAAGAGGGGGGTTGGAGTGGAGACCCAAAGCCCATCTGTAAGCAACTGGACATCCTCCCACAGAAGGGTTACAAGGAAGGGACGATTTAACCAGGATGCAGTATAGCACTGACAAAGTACATATCATTCCTCCAGTTCCTGAATGCTTCCTCCCCGCCACTGCCAGGCCCCAGTTCTACCTTACAAATCCAGCTAGCCCGGAGAACACACAGTGGTACAGAGAAGAGCTCTTGACACGTGGAATTCAGTACAGAGAAAACCCTCAGGAACAGTAGTGGAAGTAGCAATATCATGAGGATAGGGATTGGTAGTGGGGAGGGGGAATAAGGTTGAATGCATGGCCCACCCCCACCCCCAAGGGGACAAATAACAGGAATTGGGTGAAGCGAGACAATGGACAGTGTAGGACATGACATAGCAGCAAAAATATATACTTAATTGATCAAGGATTCATGAGGGTGGGAGGGTGGGTGAGGGAAGTGGGGGGAAAAAAAGAGGAATTGATACCAAGGGCTCAAATAGAAAGAAGATATCTTGGAAATGTTGATGGCAACATATGTACAAGTCTGTTTAATACAGCTTAATGATGGAGTGTTATAAGATCTTAAAGAGTCCCCCCAATAAAATGATTAATAAGATAATAATAATAATAATTTTAAAAGATCTCTTCCTGAAGGTGAAAATCAAAACCAGTGGCACCAAGGGGACAAAGCAAAGGAGCCAGGCCTACACCTGCAAAGCAGGAAGACCGTGAGACAGAGCAGAGGAGCAACACAGAGACTATGCGCGTCTGCGAGGGAGAGCAGCGGGCAGACCTCCTGGTCCACAGAGACGGGGGCCAGGGGGCCCTGGGACTGAGAGCTGGAAGACTAGAGAGACTTGGAGGTAGCGCTCCAGACCAAAGCCTATATCTCAACTGTTTACTAACTTTTACTGGTGGTACCTTGTGAACATCCCAAATAAGTTATGTTTATCCAGAGTATTGTTTGTGAGGTCTGTATGGGCATTGCAATGGATTATTGGACCCATCAGAGAAGTGGAGTGTTGTGGGAGGAATGGTTAGTATCAGAATAAGGTGAGGAAGGATGAAGGGTAAAAGCATGTCTAATTGATGCCTTATGGTAATTAGGTGGAGTTAGAGTCTCCTTCTCCCTTGTATAGCCAGAGATGGTCAGGTTTGGCCTCTGAGCTATTTTTGTGCATGCTTTCATGCACACACACACTCACACATATACACACACAGAGGCTAGATTTAGTCTGTCCCAAGAGTATGCCCAAATGTGTTTGAAGAAACCATTTTCGACATTTCTATCAGAGTACTAACCCTTTGCTAATTTTCAAACTGAGCAGAAAGGAAAGGCAATGGTATGTAATTAGAGAAATCTATGATTCACACATTAACAAGAAATGAAATGCAACCCACAGAGGCGAGAATGAAATTGTACCCAGCTAATAAGTGTCCGTACTTATTAAGGCAAAAGAAACAACCTATGGAAGAAATCAAGCCTTTCCCAAACCATGCAGAGCAATTATATTTGGCATAAATTCCACAAGGAAGATGCAGCCAGAGAAAGAAGTAAGAAACGAAAGAGGCATCAGAAGGCAAAACAGTTTTCAGATATATCACAGAGCAGGGGAAGAGTAATGGTGAGAAAAGAAGACACCGGGGGCCACGGGGGAAAAGAGAATAAATGAATTTATCTTTTTAACCTCAGCCTTCATTCTGAAAGATGATGGGAAAATTTAAATTTCAAAGTCATTTAGAAGAACTTAGAGAATAACCTTGATGGAAAATGTCTAGCAGGACTACAGAGACCTTTAATGTCAAGAATCAAAAGGAGAGATGAACAGTCCCTTAAAGAATTTATTCCTCTCCTGATGGTAACTTTGTTAAACACTGACTTTTATTGGAAACAATGAAACAAATATTATTTTTGCCTTTGACAAGTGACAGGGAAGTAGAAAGTTTATAAATACACACACACACACACATTCCAGCCGTCATATACTTAAGCTTCAAATAATTCTAAGCCTTTGTCTCATTGGGAGATTTAGGGTCAAATCACACTTCAAACCTTCCACTGACTAGAGGTATTCTTGGCCAACCAATAATTCAAACAAAATGGTTCTTCTTCGGTCTTCCTTCTTCAATGTCCAACCAACTTTCACGTGCATATAAGGCAATTGAAAGTACCATGGCTTGGGTCAGGAACACCTTAGTCCTCAAAGAAACCTCCCTGCTTTTTAACACTCTAAAGAGGTCTTGTGCAATATATTTACTGAATGCAATGTGTCCTTTAATCTCTTGAGTGCTTCTTCTATGAGTATTGATTGTGTATCCAAGCAAGACAAAATATTTGACTTCAGTCTTTTCACTCTTGATCATGATATAAAGCACTTGACCAGTTGTGAAGATTTTACACACAGTCACTGGACCAAAAATAACTCGTCTACATTCCACCATTTTAAGAGGTAGCATTTGAGCAAGAACCAATGGTGAAGAAGTCCGAAGTGCACTGAAAGCATTAGCCAAAAGCAAGGCTCCAAGAATCAATGTAATACCTTTTGAAATGTTTCAACAACCTGATGAAGCCCTGGAAGCACTCATTCCTCTATGCAAGGAAATTTGAAGACAAGTTTGGCCACTTGGCCAACTGACTGAAAGAGATTAATAACTAAGCCCAGTCCAAACAAAGGTGACCCAACAGAATGTGGAAATATCATTGGTATCATATGCAAGTAAATTTTGTGCAAGTTAATTGAACAACATTTGCAGTAGTACATTGATAAGTCCTTGCCAGAAATCCAAGCCAGACTCAGAAGAGGATGTCACATGAGAGATATCATTGCTAACTTCAGATAGATCTTGGCTGACAGCAAAAGAGTACCAAGAAGATGATTACTTGTGTTTTGTTGACTATGCAAAGGTATTTGACTGTGTGGACCATGACAAACTGGATCACTTTGAAAAGAATGAGAATTCAAGAACTCTTCATGTGCTCATGCAGAACCTGTAGATGGATCAAGAGGCAGTTGTGCAAACAGAACAAGAGCACACTGCATAGTTTAAAATCAAGAAAAGTGCGTGTCAGGGTTAGAGCCTCTCACCACACTTATTCCATCTATATGCTGAGCCTATAATCAGGGAAGCTAGAATATGTGAAGCAGAACATGATATCAGGATTGGAGGAAGACTTATTAACAACCTTTGATGTGCAGATGACAAAACCTTGCTTACCGAAAATGAGTTGGCCTTGAAGCACTTCCTGATGAAGATCAGGGCTGCACCCATCATATGGACTGCAACTTGATGTAGCGAAAGTCAAAATCCTCACAACTAGACCAATAGACAACTTCATGATGGGTGTAGAGAAGATTGAGGTTGTCAAGGATTTCATCTCATCCGGATTCACAATCAATGCTCATTAAAGCAGAGTATAGAAAGTAAACGACACATCTCATTGGGAAAATCTCTTTCCAAGGCCTCTTTAAGGGGTTGAAGAGCGAAGACATCACTTTGAGGACTAAGGTTTCCTTGCCCCCAAACCATGGTGTCTTCCATGCTGCATATGCCTATGAAAGGTGGACAAGGAAGAAGGAAGCCAAGAGGAGACGTGATACATTTGGGTATGGTGTTGTCGAGGAATAGTGACGGTCCCGTGGACTTCCAAAAGAACAAACAAATCTATCTTGAGAGAAGGAGCGCCAAGATGCTCTTTGGAAGCAGAGGTAGCAAGACTTTATCTCATGGACTTTGACATGTTGTTGGGAGAGACCAGTCCTTAGAAATGGATATCATGTTTGCAAAGGTGGAGAATCAGCAAAAAAGAGGAAGATCCTCAATGAGATGGATTATCAGTGTGGCTGCAGCCATGGGTTCCAACCTAACAATTGTGAGGATGGTGCATGGCCAGGAAGTGTTTCGTGCTATGGTACGGGGGTTACAATGAGTCAGATAAAAGCAAGGGCACGGAAGAACAACCTCTGGTACATGTTGATTCGCGTGCAAGTGTAGAAATTTGGGATTTGGTGGCTGACATTATTTTAAAAGATTGTGTGCATGAATGAATAAACTGATAAAAACCTAGAAGGCTAATTTATTAAGTGAAATTATACTGATCATCCCTTATGAAGAACTGGTACTCCTGATTGTATAATTAGCCTATTTTATTTCTGAAAATATAGAGATTGCTGTTATAATTAATTCTTTGGCTGGATCTCATCACACCTGGCTCAATTGCCTTACTGAAAGAAACCCTGATAGAGTGTGGAGTACTCAAGAGTTAAAAATCTCACCTGCTTCTGTATGTGCGGTGCCACACACACAATCGAATGGGTCCATGGGGCAGTTGTGTAATTGAGGGGTAAAATTAAAGAGACAGCAGACAAGATAAAGCATGCAATTGCTCACCTCTGGGACCGCCAGCACCTCTGGGATCTCAGCAGCAAGGTCCCCGCCGAGAGATATATTTTGAATCACGGCTTATATACATTTGGGGGATGTGCAAGCCCCCCTAATTATATCATAACAGGAAGGGGGTGTACCATAGGTATACATGCAATAGGAGGGGGATGAGCTAGGGGTGTACACGCAATAGAAAGGGGAGGCACTAGGGGTACACATGTGACAAGATGGGAGGACTTTAAAGTGAAGATGGCAGTCTAACCTTGATCCTCCTTGAATTGGCTTTACCTTGTCTTTGGGCTCACCTTCGGGGGAATAATCACTATCCATAT